CTTTAGTCTTGCCCCCTGCTCCTTCCACGTTCCCCAGTCCCTGTGTGGGCCCCAAGTCCACATGACCTCCCTCCTTACTCCCCACCCACCCATCCCTCCATGACTTCCCCATGTTATTTGTCATCTGGAAAGCCTTTTCTTCCTTTCTTTGGCAAAACCTTCCCTCCTGGTTTGAGAAAATTCGGTTTGATATTCAAGGCCCAGTATTGACTCCTCTGTAAAACCGTTCTGGCCCTTGCAGGCAGAAAAGGGGGTGGCTTCTGTGCCCTTACAGAGGCTAACAGGGCCCTTCTCAGCTGCCGGGGAGAAATTCCTGGTCCCGTCACCCACGTGAATGGGCAGCACTTCCCCTCTTTCCGCCTTAAACTCAACCCAAGTGCTCTGAGGTCAGCAGATTGGCCCACTTCCTCTCATTCCACTCCTGGGTCATTCATTGCCCCTCTGGTTTCTATTTTCACAGAAAAGACTGAGGAGCACTTTAGGTCCAGTTGGAGAGCCCTCTGTTCACCTGCAGACTTGAGCACAGCAGGGTTTTCTGGGAGTGTTTATTAGACAAATCCAAGTTTCTCTCCACACCTACAGAAATAGAAACATCCCCAAATGCTCGCCACTGCAACGGGTAGACCATATAAGGAGAGGGTGTCCCTTCGCTGGTGACCTGCTGGCTTTATAATTCTGAGAGGAGGAGGCTTGGATTGTAGGTGTGAGACATCAGTGAAGAGGTGGGGGTTACAAAAGGAGAGGCTGATGTTAATCCCTCGGAAGAAAACAGAGCATGACAAATAAGGGCCATTTGTAGAGGAATATGTAAACCTACGCTCATCCTGCCAGATACCTTTTCCCTCCTGCTTTCCAAATTTCAGCCCACTGTTTTACATGGTGACTGGGAAGCTGAGAGGCTGTGATTTTTACCTAAGAAGATTCACTTAGAACTTGAGGAAGTGGTGGGCAGGGAACAAACACACAGTGTATTTCCCTCCAGTGTCAGGACTTAAACGAACTGCAAGGAGGCAGTCAAAAGAAATGAAACAGGAAGTGTGGTTTCCAAGCAAAGCAGTCCTCAAGCTTTTCAATGTTAGCCACCTCCAACCTGCTCACACTGGGTGCCCTGTGATCAGGCCCCTGGCAAGAAATTGCAGCTTTGATATAGGTGTGTCCTGAACCGCCCGGACCCACCCGAAGCCTGGGGAGGCAGAGGTGGGGGCTTGGAAACCACCTCACAGGCTAAGCATTATAAAACTATTTTCTCCAAAGGAGCAACATTATAATTGGGTGATGCATTCTTCATAGGAATTTATAAAATGTAGATTCTACGAAATAACTGAAGAGGTGCCACATGAGCAGCACCTTATCTAACCATCTCCTCAATCATTTAAAATTGTTAAATTATGTTTAAAGTCTTAAAATGGGCAAACATGTATGGTGCCTGTAATACTCTACCAGTGGCTAACAGGGGTCCTGGGTTGGGGTCTGCATTGTTTGAATCAAGGAGGGAGTGGAACTTTAAATACAAATAAAAAGGATAACAAACCTAGAGTACACATTTCCTCTCCATCAGTGGTTCTCAAACTTTTTCATGCCAGTACACCTTTATATTTTTTTAAATGATTGTGATCTCAAAGAGCTGTTGTTTATGTGGTTTTATCTACTGATGGGTACTATATAGAAATTAAAACAATTTTAAAAAACACTTTTTATTAATTTATCTAAAAATAACAGCAGTAAATTTATTTATTGTTGATGTTAACATAAATATTATATATTTATGAAAAATAGTTTCCAAGATGAAAATTAAAAGTTTTCAAAATAAAATAAATAGTAAGAATGGCATTATTTTACATTTTTGCAAAACTCTGTAATGTGTACCTTAATAGATGATGGCTGGACTCTTGTATATTCTGCATTCGATCTGTTGTGATATCATGTGTCTGCTCTGGAAAACTCTAATGTATTTTCATGGGAGACTGAGAGTGAAAAAAGCAAATATTGTCTAGTATTAGTATGAAAGTACTTTTGATCTTTTGGGCATCTGGAAAGGTCTCAGAGACCTCCAGGGGTCTCCAGCCTATACCTTTAAAGCCACTACTTCAGATCAGCATGCCAGCTAAATTAACATCAAGCATTTACTTGGCTTATAAGTCACTTAGATGGCTCTCCTTCTTAGTATGTGCAGAGGCAGAATCACAGGACTGAACCATTTCCTGCTCCCTGGTGTGCACACTCCAGTATAATTATGGGAACTTGTAAATATGGTGGGATAGTTACTTCTGTCATTAGGTCATGTATATGGCACAGTTGACTTTAAAAATGGGAGACTATTCTCGGGGTACCTGACTGAATCAAGCGATCCCTTAAAAGGGACTGGGCTCTTCCTGGAGAATAGATTGAAATGTGCAATTTCATTCATCTGAACACAAGTGAGATTCTCTGTTGCTGGCTTTGAAGGTGGAGGGAGTCATATGGCAAGCAATGTAGGCAACCTCCACAGCTGAGATTGATCCTTGGCTGCTAGTCAGCAAGGAAGTGGGGGCCTCAGTCCTACAACCACAAGGAACTGAATTTAGCCAATAACCTGAGAGAACTTAAAAGGATGTTTTCCTCAGAGCCTCCAGAAAGGAATATAGCCTGGACAACACCCTGATTCAGCCTGGGATACCCTGAAAAGAGAACCTAGTTACACCATGCCTGCACTCCAGATCTACAGAATTATTTGATAAAGAATGAGTATTATTTTAAGCTGCTTTGTGGTAATGTGACACAGCAATGAAAAACTAGTAATGTATTATTTTAAGTTACACAAATAATCACAAATACATCTTCCTTGCAAAAGATGAAAACATTACTGAGAGGTTAAAAGTTCCCATTGAGCGCTGGCCGGTGTATCTAAGTTGGCTGGAGCATCATCCCACACACCAATGGGTTGCAGGTTCAATTCTTGGTTTGGGTATGTACCTAGGGTGTGGGTTCCATCCCCTGTCTAGGAGTGTTTGGGAGGCAACCAATTATGCCTCTCTCACATCAATGTTTCTCTCTCTCTCTATCTGTGTCTCCTTTCTTTCTCTCTCTCTGGAATCAATGGCTATTTAAAAAAAATGTCCTAAGATGAGGATAAAAAATAAGTTCCCTTCGACATATCACCCCCATCCTAGACAATCTTGAGCCCCTCCATACCCAACTTCCCTGAGGGTATGGTATGAATACCCCTTTGTTGGATATGAATCCTTCCTTCCAGAACTTTTTCTATGCATTTATGTGCATATATTTGTACCAACAGAAAATATATAATACTGCGGTGGTTTGTTTATTTTTCTTATTTGAACTTCACAACACTATAGGGATTAATGCTATAGCTGGCCCAAGTCTTCTAAATATAAACAAGAAAAGTCTGAGTTGATGTTCCCTATGTCCCATGGAGGCATTTGAACCACCCTATTGCTCTTAGATCCAAATTTAAAGAGAAATGTATTTTCGAAGTGGTTGTTTAGAATGGGGAGGATGGGGTTCCACCAGCTGAGAAACATTTAGAGTCAGGGCTGACCTCACATTTCTTGTTTTCTACCTTTGTCTCTCAGGTTATCACAGCTAGAATAACCCTGCTCAGTTATAGCCTCAGTTCCAAGCCACCAGAGAAACATTGGTGACCCTTGTGCCCCAAAGTGACCCTTAACGGCCATCAGGCCCCTGCCTTCATCCAGTACTGGAAAATCAGGGAACTTCAGAACATCCTTCAAAGAACTGCTTACTCTCCATTGATTTGAAGAACAATGAGGAGCTGTGACCTTTTCAGAAACAAGCCTGTGGCACACCTCCAGGAGACAGCACGAATCTCCTTTGACAGTGGACCACAGGCCACCCTGTGGAGGGTAGTGTCTTGCCCAAGGAGTAACCTCCCAACTTAGCTTCTGATCAAACTGTCAGAAGCAGGTTTTCCAAGGTGACTTTAATGATGCGCTCTCAGAAAGAAGCTCCTTTCTCAAGCAAGTCTGTCCTTCAAACTCACAGAGCCGATGGGCCACAAGCCTCTGTGTGAAAAGTGTGCATGTTCCATATTTTGGTAGCAAAGGACACATTAGCAGTGGCCAGTGGCAATGTCCTTCTTGCTTCGCTAAGGTCATCTCATCTTGTGCTCCCCTGACATCACAGAGGTCCTGACATTTTATAACAGCACAGACATGCCCCTTCGATCTTTGGCCTTTTGTGATGTTGAGTTTGCCAGGGAAGCTCTGGCTGCCTATTTGTGCTGGGTGGGCAAGAAACCTTATCAGTTGTAAATCTTTGGACAGAGCCGCTCATTAACAGGGGTTACACTTAACACCTCCTGGCAAAGGCTGTACCCACCTACCCACATCCCTGATCCACGAGTTTCCATGCTTCCTGGCTATTCCAGTAGGGTCACCCCACAACTATGAAAGCACGGGTCTTTGGGGATGGAGCTCTGACCAGGACGGGGCCACCGCCTTTGGACAAGGAATCCATGCACAGAGTAGCAGCTGACTCCTTTGTACTTCTGTGTCTTTGTGACCATATGTTTCTGTTCCCTTTTCTGGTAAAATCTTCTAGTGGATACAATTCCAAAGGTTCACCCAAGGAGAGAAACGTTCTTTGGGCATGCACAAAGGTTTGAGTGAGTCTTGAAACTGGTCCAGGGCCACTGGGGACAGGCTTCTAAAGGCGACTTCAGGGAGTGGAAATACCCCAAACTTTCCTGCCACACAATCAATTTGCCTTAGAAGAGGAGGAGAAAGCTGCCCCGAAAGTAGGCGTTCAGCGTTGGGTAGTTTGTGATATATTCGAGCTGCTGAGTCTTACAGGAGTGAGAGCTCCCCTATTTCACCATGCTAGAGGTTTTCAGAGAGCTGGGGTTTTTGTGACGGTGACTTGGGTAACCGGGACTGGAGAAGTAACAGAGTCAGAGCCGCGCAGAGGGCGGCCCGGGCGCGCGAGGGCGGAGCGGGCGCCACTGCGTTGACGGCCGCGGCAGACAGGGGGCGGCCGCGCCCATTTCCTCCGCTCCGCCTGGGCCGGAGGGATCCGCATCGGCGAGCGGCGCCTCCCGGGTGTAGGCTGCGGCGGCTCCCCGACTGTGCTGGGCTGTGGCGAGACGGCTCCGGGCGAGCCTTCCGCGGTGGCAGACGACGCCCCGAAGCGCGCCGCGCGGTTCGCGTTCCGGCTGCCCGCATGGACGCGGCGTTGAAGCGGAGCCTCTCGGAGGAGCCGGCTGAGCTCCTGCCGTCGGCCCGGGACTTGGAGGAGGAGGAGGAGGAAGAGGAGATGGAGCAAGAGCTGGAGGAGGAAGAAGAGGTAGACCCCCGGATCCAGGTAGGGCGCACGGAGGACGCTCCGGATCCCGGCTCCGCGAGGGCCTCCGCGGAGGTCGGCATCTATACTTACACCCGCCTCGCAGCCCTCAGTGCCTACGGTCTGGGGGCAAGAAGAAAGGGTCTGAATCCAGGTTTTACCTGGTTCTTGGGGAGACTGCAGTGCCCGCGTGGATGCGGCCTGACTATTGCGGGGATGCCCCCGCAGACTCCGGGCAAGATCTTGGGGTCGCCGCAGCGTGCCCAGCGGTTTAGTGGATGTGCAACAAAGGGAAAAAGGGGGCGGGGGCGCCATGCGGATATCGTGGGGTACCCCGGCCGGGCTTAGGGTGCCGTGGGCATTGCACAGCCTCCCGGCCCTTGGAGGAGGGGTCGGCCGCCGGGTGGGCGTTGTCCGCCCTGCAGCGTGGGCTGGCCGGGGTGCCCTGGGCTCCGAGTCTTCACCTGGCGCAGGTGCCCGGCCTGAGCCATCTTCCTCCTCTGATTCATTGTTACCAAACTGAAGGGTTTATTGTCACCACTGGCTCGACCCTGCACTTGGCCTCAAACGGTTTAATACTCAGCCTTTTCTTGTGATGAGGTTGGGTATGAACAGAAATCGGGAACAACTGATGCTCAAAGCTGACGCGGGGAGAAGGCGAGGGGATTGGCCTGACTCTCCGTGCCTCCATTTCTAAAGGAGATGATTAAAAAACAATTTCCAAGCTGAGATCTAGTAGTGACAGTCTAACCTCTTCACCCTCCAAGCAAAAAGCACAGCAAATCCCTTTTTCAAGACCCATTTTTCTACCTTTTCCATAAATCGTTTAAAAAAAAATATTGCTTTTAAGTATGTTTGCCATTCCTGGAGCCCTAATTGGTTTTTCAAGTGCGCAGATCAATTAAAAGCTCATTTAACTTAGCTGTTTCGATTTAAATGAATTGTTTTGGCAGATTAGCAAGATAAAGATCAGGTGGGAAATGTTTGCGTTAGGAATTTTATTAAAATAATCAGTTTCAACTACTGTTCACTTGTTTTCTTGGTACAGGAATTCTGTTAACAAGATCCTTTGTTTGCAGAGTAAGATGAGTTAACTTCATGTTGGGTACTTTTTAGAGGATTTCATTTTGTAAATGTTTATTTAAAGGTGGTTTTTGTTTTTTTTTTTAAAGCTGGTTTAAAAAATATCTAGGGAGAATGAATTGGCAGTTTGAAAAGATTTTCATCTTTATAGAAAAATACTCAACCACCAGTGACTTAATGCCAGAATTCTGCCCTTGATTTAAAACATTTCACTTTTAGGTTTATACTTTCGGCTTGGTCTTGTCTATTTTCTCTTACTGTCTTTTCTGTAAAGTTCTTGCTCTAAGGCAGAAGGTGCTGTTTTGATTCAACCCCTGAACGATCTGTTAACAGGTGGCTTTACCTGAAGGCACAAACCTGAAATAAATATTTGACCTTCTAAGAAAAGACAGATTCCTAGGATCTTAAGGCATTTCAAATCAAGAAAAAGTTTTCAGAAAACTTGACATTCATTTGCTCTTCCAGCCAAGCTTGGCTCAACTGTTTTCCTTGAGAATTAATACTGACTCGTCCCTCTTTCCACAAACTGTGCTGGGGTAATTTTGCAGGTAATGGGCTGAGTCATACGGAAACAAAAGACAATCCCTTAAATCTTTTTTCTCCCTCTTTTCTTCATTAGGGAGAATTGGAGAAGTTAAACCAATCCACGGATGACATCAACAGACGGGAGACTGAACTTGAGGTACAGAAAGCCAGGTCCCTGTTCTTGTTGAAGTGTTGTTGGTCCCACTGACACCAGAATGGTTAATTTTGCTTTAGTAGCTGGAGGGTGATTGCTTGGCGTCCCCTCCTCGAAGTTGAGCAACAGCCTGCTGTCTGACAGAATGAAGTACACCACTGAGCCCAGCTTGTGGGTGGAACGCATGTGGATCCAATTTCACATGCTGTTTTTCATCATGGAAGCGCTGTGGGGCCAAAACCAAGAGTTTTACACACGTGTAAGCCCTCAAGTTATTGTGTCTGTGGAAGAGCTGAAAAACGGAGGGGAAAATGAACCGAACTCTTTAATGGAGAAGAATAAGGGCGCTCATAAAATCTCTTAAATATTTTAGGGTAACTCCTTACATTATACTTGGAAATGTGTGTCTTCTCAGACTCAAACCTTTTTTTACTTTCCTGCTCTAATAATTCACCCCCTTCTACTTCTCTACTCAGTTCTTTAATGTCTGCTTGTGTGTAGAATATAATTATCTTAATGGTAAGGAGAAGCTGTTTGGACTGGGAAAGGGCTTTCCTGCTGGGAGAGACTAGAACTTGATTTGAATTTCATGAACATCTTCTAACCTGAGTGTAAGCAGATGAGCGTTCTTTACAGCTACCAATTAGTCCCCATCCCTTTTCAGTAGTGGTTGGTTTTACCGTCCATCAGCAGATTTGAACCGCCCCCGCCTGTATCTGAGAGCCTGTGAATGACTGTCAGAGCTGAAGGAATGCAGGGAGCTGTTGGGAGGACCTGTTTGTGTAGCAGGGAAGGTCAGCGGAAAGGGCAGGAGACATCTGGGCCCTCAGAGTGCGGGTGCAGGAGATAGGAATGTAATCTACCAGCAGTCCCCTGGCAACCTTGATTCTGACGGCCTACCATGCGGAGGCCCGACGGCACCAAATCTGGATGTGGGAGTGCGGATTGAAAGCTTGTTTTCTGAGTTGTGTGTGAAGCGTTTAACCCTCTATTGTGATTGTAGTTATTTGTGAACACTGGTTACCCTTCTCCCTCAAATGGAGTACAGCCTGAGGGTTTACTTAAATTCTTTTTCACTTAGGATGAATCGAGTCTCTTTGTTGGGCAGTTGAAATCTCTCAGAATATGAGAGACAACAACAAAAGCCCTACCATTTCTGTGGGTATTTACAAAGATGTTTAAGGTGTTTCACAAGGTGTATCTCATTCCATCCAGTCACAGCAGCCTAAAGTCATACTGTCCCATGTGACCACATGTGGCTACTTGAATTTAACTTAATTATAATTAAATAAAATTAAAAATTCAGTTCCTCAGTCATGGCAGCCACATTTTAAGATACTGTGTTGGACAGAGCAGAGAACACTTCCACCATCGCAGAAAGTTTTAGTGGATGGCACTGGCCTGGGAAGCAGGGAAGGTGGTAGCTGCCTCTTCAGGTTGAGGACACAGGCACAGAGTCCTCACAGATCAATGACACTGAAGAGCCAGGTCATCTTCCACGTCCCCTACAGCTCTCATACTCTACCATCCCATATGTGAATAGACAAGTTGGAAATAGTGTTTTTTTTCCCCCCACCCCCAAAGGACTCATTGATTTATTCATTCAACAAATATTGGTATGTCAGCCACTGCTCTCTGGTAGTGCTTACTTAATTAGCATTCTGAGGGTAAAATTATTTCATCTGTTAAAACTCTTTTTAGCCCTGATTTCCGAATCCTTTTTCTGAATGCACTTAGGTGTACGTGTATCACAGGAAGTGTGGGACAGGTGTTTCCTGCCTTTCTGCCGTGGCGTGTTCTTGGCAGCAGCCAAGAGAGTTGGTCGACCTGGCCTGTGTCGCTGGCTGACCTCTCCATGGTATTATTATTATAACCAAGATGGTCTCAAATATAATGCAAGCTTTGTTATGCAGTTAAAACTTCCCTAGCAGCCACAATAAAAAATAAAATGAAACAAGTGGAATTAATTTTAATATACTTCATTTAACCCAGAATGTTCGAGATAGTATAATTTTAACATGGAATCAATGTTAAAAGTCCTTGAGATATTTTACAGATATTTTTAAGTGAACTCTTCAAAATCTTGTGCGTAGTTTATACAGCGATTACCGAAAAGCCTCTGGTGTCGCTGTGTGTCTGGTGGGCTGTTCTCTGTCAGTCAAGCCTTGGGCATCAACCTTGCGTCAGGAATTTGTGGGGCATTTGTGGGGAGCGGTGGAGGGCTACTGCAGACACAAGGGTGAATGAGACAAAGGTCTTGCCCCCAGGGAGTTTACATTTTGGTTGGGGGTGCAGCATGCAGGGGTGGCTGATAATTGCTGATTGTAATAACTATTATAAAACAGTAAGCGACAGGCTGTAAGAGGAGTCACTGGTGTCTGAGCAGAAAAGCCTGCAGAACGAGAGTCCATGTGCAGAGGAGCAGATGGCGTGAGCAGTGGGGTTGTCCGGAGGGCGGTGTGCCAAAGGATGTGGGAGAGGAAGCAGGGCGTTTTGATGTATGGTTGAGTCTCGTTATTTGTGGTAGTCGTTTTCCATGAAGTTGCCGTGGACATTGAATTAGTGAGTCCTGAACCGTGGCTCCCAGAGGGGAAATGTTGTGACCCGAGACTTGCAGGACCCTGACCCCATATTAAGTTCCTGCGAGACTCTAGTCACATTTTTGTCAACGGATCAATACATAATAACCTTGTTTTATGTGTGTTTCTGTTTAAAGACACCTTATTTAGTATATGTTATTGGTTCATTAATGTTGAATCGTGGGCAACAGCACAAAGGTGCATGCCTGAATGAAGCCTATTTAACACACGTATGAGTTCTCTGTAAGACCTATCACAGCCTTCTAGGACTTAGAAACACTGGACAGCACTTCAGCACTAGGCTTGGAGGCCATCTGAAACAGCAGAATCTCCCACAGAAAGCACAAATGTGCAAAAAACATGGCGCTAAATGGACCGTGTGAAGGACACTTGTTTACAGTATAAGAGCTGAAACCAGAAAGCAGGGGGTCTCTTTGCCTGACCTCGGCCAGGAACATGCACATTGGGCGACTGTTTTTTTGGCCACTCTGTGTATGTCCACAAATGACTGCCGAAGTACCACGAGTATTGATTTGGAGGTAGGAGTACACTTTAGTGAGTATGGAGTCTGCCAGTAATGAGGATTGACTGAAATAAGTTCAAAGCCTCACGAGGAGGGTCTTATGCTGTCCACGTTCCTTTTTTCTTTACTTTTGGATTATGATCCGGAGTGCCCAGCACCCCCTCCTGATTCTCCCTGGCTCTGAATAAAGCGAACTGGTGACCAGGTTTGTGACGGCTGCTACTTCGCTCGTAGAACGTGGCTTGGTCATCCCTGGGCAGCCACAGGCCGAGGTGCAGGCCTGGATTCACCTTGAGCTTCCCATTCTGTGTCCCGGTTCTTTCGAACGGCGATTACCAAGAGGCCTCTGGATGTCAGCCACCTGCATGTCGTCAGTTGGATGTTTGCCTCTTCCTGCAACCTCGCTTTGCCTCTGACCTTGTTTGAACAGTGCTGTGTCCCCTTTGCACTCTGATTGATATCTAGAAGGCCTGTCTTTTCAAGCTGTTGAAGGGAGTAACCTTTTAACCAGAGAGGCCCTTGGGTATAAGCCTGATGTTTCAAATTAAGAAAGCAAATGTATTTTCTTAGAGACACATCCTTGAGTGTTATTCAGCACCTACTATGTGCTAGGGACAGTTTTTAGGTAATGGGGAGAGAGCAGTGAAGAAAAGAGGGAGAACTCTCTATCCCCCTGATGCTTCCTTAGGGAGCGGGAGGCAATGCAATTAACAATGAACATTGCAGTAGTTACATGGTGATGTGTGCTAAGGAGAAAAACAAGTCAGGGAGGGGCCTTGGCAGTGTGGGTATTCTGGGAGAGGGGAGGGGAGAGGGTAGGAAAGACTTCCCCGAAAGCCTGTCTGGAGAGAGGGAGCCTCTGGGCTTTGTGGGGAAAGAGCATTCCAGCCACAGGGAAGGGCCAGTGCTAAGCTGGAGGTGTGGCCTGTCTGAGGACCCAGCAAGGAGGAACCGGTGGGGGGTGGGGGGTGGGGGCAGGGGTGAGCGGCGAGCGGCGGGTAGAAGAGGAAGAGAGATTCAGAGGCGAAATGGGTCACTCAGGTGAGGCCATGCAAGGGAATGTGCCCATGTAATTTTGCAATTATATTGGGTTATCTTTTTTACAGATGTTTGTTAAAACAAGATGCAGTACAGAGCATTTCAGCATTTCGTTGTAATCCACATTTGCAATATTCCACGCCCATTAATTTAACCACAGTGTATAGTGTTTTCGTTACTTCCCTTGCTTGCTCTGGAGGTGGGCTATTCCAGGGAAGTGAAATGGTCACAGAGGAAGGACACAGCCTGGCCTAGTTACCCACATACAGCTTTTCTGCTCCCAGTGATCAAAAGCTGCCTTTTCCAGCCTGCCCCTCCCCACGAGGGGAAGCAGTTGTAAATGTCCGCGCTCTGTCCCCTGCTGCTTGGGCGGGACGTTTCTGGGCAGGCTTGTAGAGCGCTTGGAAAAGCATTTGCTTCTGGACATCTGTGTTCTCCAAACTTGCATAAAGCCTGCACTCAGAATTTGCCTTTCCCCCCTCCAGAAACCAGCAAACATGATCTCTCAAAAGTAAATTTGAACTTCGAAACTGAGGAGGGGGAGAGGGGGAGGTAGGGGTGAACTGGAAGCAGGTCTGGCCCCTCTAATGAATTATTAACACAAGTCAGGGGAAGAGGGCAATTCTTTCCTGAAAGGATAGTGTTGTCACATCTTAGTACTTTGTCCTTCAAGGCCTGTGTGTGTGGTGAGTGTGGCGTGTGTGGTAAAACAGGTATGTGCATTGTGTTTGTGTGTTGTGTGTGAGTGGGTCCCCACTGGGGGGAAGGCCCCATAAGACTTCAGTTGCGTTTTGAAGAAAGTACTAGAAAATGTTTGAAGTGATAAATGGATGAGGGGAAGTGAGGAATAACTGGCACCAAAG